TTATTTTATAATAAAATTATGGATTTTTACTTTTAATGTTCTAAGTATCAGATAGCTTATACAGGAAAAGATCATAGAATAGAAGAAAAGTAACTGGTATATTATTACTGAAGGGCTAATCAAAATAAAACAAATAATAATCTCTATGTGATACGCAAAGTGCTCTCACAAGGACCAGCTAAGACCTCAGATTTACACTGAAAAAAGTTCACATTTTATTATGTTCTCTGACACCTCTGATAAACAGAGACTAGAAACTGTGTAAAGTAGAAATCTGTCTAAAGTGCTATTTAAAGTAGAAAAATTGCAAGAACTGGCAAAACAGAACAGTTTTGTCCAATTCTGGCTTTCAGAGGTTTCTCTGTACATCAGAAGTAATTTGAAGGGCAAATGAGGAAGGTCATGCTAATAGTAGCAGGTGTCTCTTAAGGTTTTTTAAGGAAATAATTTAGAGAGAACATAACTTTCTCTGATAAATAAATAATAAAATGTAATAAATTTTTTCTCTATAAATAATTAAAAAATAAACAGGAAGTTATTTAATAATGCATATTCCAGGGACTATCAACCATACTCAGAGATGTGAGCACCAATTAAATAAACCTAATGTTTATGTTTTACTGGAATTGATTTTCTTAAAAAACAAATTTTTTAATGTCACTGACCTCAAAACCTCACTTGAGGAATTTACTCCACCTATCAGTAATACCACATAAAATACAATTTTCTACTTCCACATTGGACATATTAAATATACACAATTACAAAAAAAAAAAGAACATAGAAACTAGTCTGACAAGTAGAAAATTTAAATTCGCAATTATCTCATCTTTGATCATCTGCTATTTGATAATCTTAGCAATCTGTTAATTACAAGAAAGCAAAGGCATGAAGGATAATACCTACTCTTCCCCTCAAACAAAATCGTCTGGACCACGCCCTGGCAGAAGTATTCAGGTTGTTATTCTAGTCCAAAGCAATGAGAAATAAAGAAGAATAAAGAATAAAGGAAGGAATTTAAGTGTACTGAGTTGTTATTTAAGAACTAGAAAGCAAAAGAAACAGTAAAAATACTAAGAAAAGAAAAAGTAGTCTATAAACTAGCTCTGGGCACTTTATCTTCTCTTTAAATATCTACCCAACAAGACAGATTGACACAGTCACTGCAACAACGGGCTCGAGTATATGAGATGATGAGGATGGCAGGGTTCTGATTCGTTGTTCCTAGGGTCACTATGAGTCACAGATGACTTGATGGTACCCAGTAACAAATATCTACCTTAAATATCTACTCATTAAATTCACTATTTATAAATAACTTCACTTAAAAGTCTTTCAAAGAGCCTGCATTTCTCCTTCACTATCTTTTTTCTTTCCATACATCGTACTTTATTTTATTCTAACTCACTGAAATTCTATTCATATCTGAAATGGGGAAATGAATTCAAATGCTAACATTTCTTCAGAAAATTTCCATATTCTGCTTTATTAAATCAGATTATTCATCAAGTATAAATTGCTATAAAGGAGAAAAAAATGTTAAAGTTCACAATAATATTTTTTTTTTTAGTTCACAATAATCTTGATCAGGTTTGAAGCCCCATAACTCTGAGAACAGTCAATCTTACCTACAGTTACACCCATAAAAATACAGCCCAAGGGGCCCTATTATTACCTCTATTACCCTGCTGTCCACAGGCAAGGTGGTGCTGACCATGTGGACATTAGGCGTGGACGTTGATCTCTGCCTCTGAGAAAGTGAGCCCTCAGAGGAGGGGCTGGAAGTGTTGAATGTGAAGGCATGGGGCGTGGAGTATCTGTGCTGGGAACTAGGCAAGAAGGAGAAAGAGAACCTTATGAGTGGCACTCAGGCTCCCCCAATGACCTGTCTTTTAAACTTCATTAAGACACACAGAGATAAACTTTACCACTATTCAATGCTTTCAATAAGCACCATTTAAAATGGTTCTTATGTTTAAGTATTCCTACATAAAAAGTTTGAAAGGAAATAATATAAGTGCTTTGAAGTCACATGAAAAGTACAACAATGCATCTTAAGTTTTATTCTTTTTAATAAGTCACTTCTACTGAATACTCCAAATTTTCATACTATCTATCAGAAAGAATAGGGAGCTCTGGTAGCCTAGTTGTAAAAAGTTGAGCTGAAAAGATTGGCATTCTCCTTTCACGTGATTTACAGTCTCTGAAAAACTGCTAGAGGGTCAGTTATGAATTGGTTTCAAATCAACAGCACAAATAACAGTTAACGACATGAGAAAGAATGGATTATTCAATGGTAAATTATTTTAGCATTTACTAATAAACTAGATGGAACCTGGGTGGCTTAATTTAAAATCTAAATTACAGAACATTAAGGAGGAATTTTAGCATAGAAACATTTGCAAAAAGGCCTGGATTTCCCCCATTTTATGTGTTTTCCCCCATCTTCCCTGAAAACCAGTTTATAAAATAAATGAATATGAATTCCATTTCTAGATTGCATAGCTCTAACTGCAACTGGCCTCTTAAGTGAGGAGAAAAAAACTAATAAGTACAATATTTTCACTATTTACTCTAAAGATTAGTTGGAGCTTTGTTCAAATTCTACTTAATGATGACATGAATTCAGGGAATATAAAACTTGTTTTTCTAAAGTAAAACTGTTCTACTGTCTTGAAAAATCACCTTCATATTTATTTCAAGACTTATACCTAGAACCTTGGTTTCTTCCCTGAAATTCCAAGGGTTTCAAGTAGCTATCTATCATTTTCAGAAACAAGCTCAGGTTTTTGTCAGACTTGGTTTTTGTCACATAAAAATATTTATCTAAATATCATTTCAATACTAATTCCTTGTTACAAGTTATGCTGTCTTTAACAATTTCTACAGTAGTTTTACAAAAGACAAGATTATGATTACAAATACATCAAAGTAAGGTATTTTGGACAAAGATTTATTTTAGGTTCCAAATTCATGTGCAACAAAGACTGCATCATATGAACCAATAAAATTCTAATTAGATTCTTTTATAAGACAGCACTTATAAGTGCCATGGTTTTAGCAATGCCAGGCATTTCAAGTTTGAGAATTTTATTCTTATTCTATCGCTATATAGTTTTGGAACCCTTTTCACTGATGTTCAATTCATTACTTACTGGGGGAGGCAAACTCAGGTTCTTTAAAGTGTGATGGAAGATTAGATTGGGATAAGCAAGAGCTGTTACTATCACTTTCCAAGTTCTAAGAACTACTAGACCACAAAGAGTGAAGCTCTACATTCCAGCCAGAACACCAAATCCCTTTTCTTTGTAATGCTAAGTGCCAAAGATACAGCAAAAGCAGTGGGGTACTGCAAAGGAACTCTTGTCCTTTGTACCAGTCCTATGCTCTTATTCCCCCATAAAGATAACGCTATAGATTAAAATTTACCTAACAGGCATCCGGGAAACAGACTCTCGCATTCGACGCATTGTCAAAGAAGGCAGTGCTGGGACCCCACTATCACCAACATTGGAATTTGGAAACAATCTAAAGGAAATCACGGAAAGACTGTTTATAGACTTGTAGTAATTTTATAGAACAATGTAGTATCAATTAACTCTACTTTGCCTTTTATAAAATTATAGCTTCTCCAATTGCATTTGCCAGTCATGTTTTCCTCTGCCAGCGGAGCTTTCTAAAGGGCGAGAGGATGCTACCTATGTAGGATTAGCATTCAGCTGCTAACAAAAAGCTTGGAGATTTGAACCCGTAAGCTTCTCCACAGAAGATGAGGGCATCAACCTCATAAAGAGTTCACTCACTCATTCACTACCACTTAGCCAGAACTCACTCACAGCTGACCTCCCCTGGGTTTCCAAGTGTGAATGACAGGAAGAGATTGTCCTTCTTTCTCCTGTGGAGCAGCTGGTAAATGAGAACAGCAAAAAAGTGTGGCTTTTGGGTGAGCAGTACAATTCCCTATAGACTATATCACCAGAGATCCCTTATAAAGATTTACTACCTTGGAAACTGTAAGTAAGTTCTATTTGCCCTATATGGTCAAAAGAGGTGGAATCAACACAACGGCTAAGGGATTTGGTTTCAGTTTAAAGGGTCTACCATATCAAATAATCAGGTTGAAATATTATTCAAAATTAAAATGTAAAAAAAAAAATTAAAATGTAAGCAGCACTGAACATACATACACAATAAACAAACAAACTCCAGTCTATATTTTTAAGAAATAGTAATATAAATGGTCCAGTATCTGGATCTATCAAAGTAATGCTTCTTTTAAAGCTACTTTAAGGGCATTTTACAACCTAGAATTTAACCATTCCTGCAAACATTCTGTTATGGAAATAGAAATGAAAAAATAAAAACCATATTCAGCATGTGAAGTCATAAATAAAAGTGGTATTAACACTTAATTGGGTATTTTATTTCTACCAGTAAGGCACTTGGACTCATTAATGCCATGGTATGTTAATCGTCAGAACACTGAAAGGAAGCATTTACCCCATTTTTAGCAAAGAAAACAGGCTGAGAAGCTCAGCTGACATTCTGACCTGTGTCTGTTGAACACAAAGCCTATGAGTCATCATTTGAAAACATAATATGTATTTACCAAAAATGGGGAAAAGATGTTTTAATTGTTTAATAATACCCTCAATAAAAGATAAAGATTTCACTTTGGCTTAACAGGTACACTGGGCTTTTTTATTCAGATTGTATTAGCAAAGAAATAGAGATGACACTAGTTTTGTATCTTTTACGTGTATTTTTTAACATTTTTATATTCACAGTATTTGCAGTCTGAACAAAGTTTTCTCTAGTTTGAGGTAAAGAAAACAGTACTACATATGCAGAAGTTTCTTCTCATGTCAAATGTCTATTACCTATATTTAACAAAGTAGAAAATAGTAGATATTAGCAACCTAACAAATGGTTCTGTTAAAAGTGAAGACATAAGGTTTTGGCTCTTTCCATGTCCGTATATTATTTTCAGATTTACAGTACATCAATCTTTACTTGATAAAGTACTTGCTTATTACTATAATCGCTGCTTATTCCTAAGATATAAATAAAAATCTGTAAAATTACAAAAATATATGTATAAAATAAATAACATTAATAAAATAGAATTTAAAATAATGCTTGTTTCTATAATAGAACCTTCTAGACATTCTAACTTCTGTATTAATTTTGCTTGTTTTAAGACTGTCATGTATTTAAGGTCACAATTTATTTAACAAATACGAAATCCAAGCATGTCAGCCCAAATATATCAAAAAAGTAAAAACTAAACCCATTACAAGAACAAAGTAGATTCCTCCATAGGTTTAAGGCTATAAAATCATTAAAGCAACACTGCCCTGTGAATGACTGGTGTGTTTGAATTGCCAACCTTCTCCTTCACAGCAAAGCATTTTAACCACTGGCAATTAAGCAACCTCAGTAAAATTTACTTTATCCCTCTACATTCTTAGAAAAAAAAAAAAAAAAGAATGATGTCTTACAAGAGCTGTCTGATATTACTCCAGTCTACACACATGGTAGGTACTTTGGTGCTACAGTGTTCATGAAATTTGTAGCCACAAGTCTGACATCGAAATCCATTTAGTAGAAACTTCTGACAAATATCACAGAAGGCAAGCTTCAGGAATGTCTTCCGAGCCTAGAACAGTAAGAACATAGCTATGTAAATAAAAGTGAATAAATATTAAGATGACAAAAGACAAATTAATTTCTTCTTCAAACATATTTTTACATAATAAAGATCCATACATCAACATTTACAAATTTTTAACTAGAAATTAATGTATATCTTTAATTAAATCAATTGCTTTACTGTAAACAATGACATATTGAGAGCTTTAAATAATACAAAAACATGTACATTTCTTACCTGAGAAACTTCTACTATGCTGATTAATCAAAGCACAAAATAAGTCACAAAGAGGTAAGAAATGTGCAACTTACAAAGTTGTGTGTTGTGAGGGGAACATGATCCAAAAAATCTACTTGAAGTTCTTCTCCAATCAAAGAGGCAGCATCAGTATTCCAATCTAAACGTGCTTTTTTACTAAAATGAATTTAAAAAATCATAATATAATAAAGCCATAAAAGAAGCAATATTATTCTCATCTTAATAATGAGACAACTGAGAATACATACTCAAAGACACTAAATAAGTGCCAGGGCCTGAGTTTTAAATACAGGCCTGCTGGAATGCAAAGCATGTGGTCAATCTAAAGTTGTAATCTTATCATAAACTAAATAAATAATAAAATGAACTTTGAGACAACGAAATCCTAAAGTACTATAGAATGTGCTACAAATAGTGGCAGGGGACCAAACTTTAATTTTAACTAGGCTACTTCAATGTAGAAGATACACAAATAAAAAAAAGTAGGGACAGCATACAGTTTTCTTCTTTTATTTTTCCTGCAAATGGTTTATCCAAAGACAACTGGATAATCAAGAAAAAACCACCACAAATAGGAATAAATTAGTGAGAACAAATAGTGGTAACTTAATTATAAGAAAAAAAGTTTTACAAAAGTTTCATCTTGATTTTCCAATTGGGAACCACCTACAAGATCTATTTTTTTGTCTTTTAGGATTTTAATGAAAGTTTATGGATTTTCATTCATTCATTGTTGCACATTTTCCTCCCTGTCCTCCCTCCTCCCCAGTTCGCTCTTTTCTTTGGAAAAAAGTTCTTTCATTGTTATACTGTCCTGTCCCCCCATCTTGGACCACTTTACTATGCAACTCTTATTCTAGACTCTGGTCATGCCAATAATACCGAATTGAGTGGCATCTACTTCCAAAATGGCTTGCTTCCGTAAACTTTATGAATGTGGAGAAACGACGAAAGTTATACAAGTGTTCATGCCTTTTGTTCAGAGGGTCACTACGAGTCCTCTACAACTTGATGGCATTTAAGAAAAACAACAACATCATATTTCTTTCATACAGTTCTCTTCCTCGTCTGTTTCAATGCCATGCACATTATTTATCCCCTCTTTTTTTAGTCTCCTACCAAACCCGACCAGAAGAATGTATCTGTGCTTCATTGACTATGCAAAGGCTTTTGACTGTGTGGATCACAATAAGCTGTGGCTGACTCTGAGAAGAATGGGAATCCCAGAACATTTGATTGTGCTAATGCGAAACTTATACTTGGACCAAGAGGCAGTTGTCAGAACTGAGCAAGGAGACACTACATGGTTCAAAATCAAGGAGGGGGTTCGTCAGGGATATATTCTGTCTCCATACCTTTTCAATCTGTATGCAGAACAGATCATCCGAGATGCTGGGCTATACGAAGAGGAATGTGGCATCAGGACTGGTGGAAGAATCATCAACAACAATGCAGATGACACAACCCTGCTTGCTGAAACTGAGGAGAACCTGAAGCGCTTGCTGCAGAGGGTCAAGGACTGCAGCCTTCAATACTGACTGAAGCTCAACATCAAGAAAACAAAGATTCTAACCACTGGGCCAACTGGCAGCATCAGTATGGATGGTGAAGAGACTGAGATAGTTAACAGTTTTCGTTTACTTGGCTCCACAGTCAACACTCTTAGTAACAGCAGCCAGGAAATCAAGAGACACATTGCATTGGGAAAGTCAGCTGGGAAGGACCTCTCAAGAGTACTGAAGAGCAACAATGGCAGGCTGGAGACTAATGTGTGCCTGATCCAGGCTATAGTCTTCACAGTTATGTGCTATGCATCATAGAGTTGGACAGTGACTAGGGATGACAGAAAGAGAACTGATGCCTTTGAGTTGTGGTGCTGGAGAAGAATGTTGAATATACTATATAAACAGGTTTGTCCTGGAGAGGATGAAGAACCTGGGCTGCTCCTTGGAGACAAGGATTCTGAAGCTTCGTCTGACATACTTCTGGCATGCTGCAAGGAGGGACTGGTCCTTGGAGAGGGACATCATGTTTGGGAAAGTGGAAGAACGGCACAGGAGAGAAAGACCCTCGATGAGATGGATTGATTCTGTGACTGGGGTGGGGAATGAGTGTGTTTGAGACAGCGAGGTTGGCACAGGATAGAGCAGCGTTTAGGGCTATGAGTCGCAAGTGACTTGATGGGACATAACAACAACAACAACACTATCAAGCATGATGTCATTCTCTAGGAACTAGTCCCTCTTGATAACACGTCCAAAGTAATCAGGAAGTATCACTATCTCTCTTCTATGTAGGCTTCTAGAGGTGTATCTTCTGAGAAAGATTTGTTATTTTTTCTTGCAGCTGACAGTATATTCAATACTATTCTAGTAAAATCTCTCATTTTCCTAGTCATCCAATAGTAAAATAGTACACTGCTTAATGTAACAGGTCTCAGAAACCACACATCACTCAAAAGTCTATTTCACCCTAACTGCAAGAGGGGATATCCTTGCCAGTGTTCAAGAGCATCCTGTCCTAGAGAGAAGACAGGGTCACTTCATCCAATTACAGCCTTGGACCACAGAAAGCTAAGCCCCTCTCTACCTCAGAAATCTCTCTAGTCCTTACATTACAGAGTCTAGCATTACAAATCGGCTTGGCAACCAACCTAAGACAACAACCAGATAAAACTGACATATGTTTCAAGTTCTGCATTTTCGAATTTGAGAGGAACAGACATATTTATTGTTACCCTTTTGAGTAAACTCAATCTGGGTTATTCTCCCCAACTAGGAACTTCGTGAAAGAGTAAAGCATAATGTGAATAACAGAAGTGCTACTTTCCAAGAAGAATGAACTTCCAGAAGGATTCCCCAGATTTTAGGGGGAAAATAATGTATAACTACTATCTCTGCAGCTCTGGATATTGCTCTAAGCCTTTGAAGTGGTATTTCTAAATTGCTATCATCATCAGAAACAAGAATTATCTTCCCAGAAATAAAAATTCTCCAGCATTTCCAGCTCTGTTAAAACAGCAGGAATTTAGTAAACATTATACTGAAGGAGAAGGAATAAATGAATCCTAGATTGTAAAACCTCATGAAAGTAGAATTCTTTTACTATAGCAATGCAGTACTTTCTGAATACCTAATCTATATAAAGAAAAATATTTTTTCTCAAGGAATTCTTTGACATTATTGCTACCCACTGATGTTTATTATTACTGTAATAACTATTATTACCCATAGATGTTTACCCATTTTTGCACCCCATGAATGGAAACATCCATTGCATGTTCATTTTTCCAACACATGACCGAACAATAATTTCAGGTTCTCAGGATTTTATCTTTCTCAATTGTCAGGTAAAAAAAATACAAAAATACTCTATAGGGAGTTATACCATTTTTTAAAAATGAAAATATAACTATTACTTGAAGCTGGGAGATCCTTCCTAGTATGCAGAAGGTGGTAACTGCCTTTGTGATCTTACCCTTTGTGTTCATGGAGAAGTCGGAACACTGCACAGCACTCTGGTTGCAGGCCCCGCACCTTGAGGGCTTTTATAAGGCAGTCATGCAAGCTCATTCCATTCCTCACATTGACCTACAAACAGAGGACCACATTTAGGATCAAACACCGGCTGCAGCTCTCCTGAGAAAGATAATACAGTGTTAACACTGTTATTTTACATAGAAGAATATTTATGATGGCATTTCTCATAATATAACACAAACACACACAGAGACAGAGAGAGAACACATCTTAGTACTCAAATAGGTGAGTGCTTAAATAAAGTAAGGAACAGTTATATTATGTCATAGTATATAGCTATCATATTATTATATCCTTGAAAAGGGACATCACACTTGGAAAGTAGAGGGTCAGTGAAAAAGAGAGGAAGACCCTCAATGCGACGGACTGACAAAGTGACTGTATCAATGGGCTCAAGTGTGTTAGAGTCAATAAGGTTAGCACAGAACAGGGTTTCGTTATTCACAGGAGTGTTGTGACTTATAATTGCCTCAATGACACCAAACAACAATATAGTATTATAACCACTTTAGATAATAACTATGATTATTAAAAAGGGAGGGGAAAGGCTTACATATTATATAGCTTACATATGTAAGCTATATATTCCTCACATGGATATGGAATGATGTACATGAAGCTATAAATACTACATGTAGTAGTGGTTGGGAGAGATGAAATGATGAACATTCCATTTATAACCTATACTTGGATCAGGAGGCAGTTGTCAGAATAGAGCTAGGAAACACTGTATAGTTCAGGATTAGGAAAGGTGTACGTTAGGAATGCATCCTATCTCCATACCTTTTCAATCTATATGCAGAACAGATCATCTGGGAGGCTGGGCTCTATGAGCAGGAATGTAGTATCAGGATGGGAGGAACTCATTAACAATCTGTTATATAGTTATATAGAAGACACAACCTAACTTGCCAAAAATGAGGAGGAACGGAGACATTTTGCTGCAGAAGGTCAAAGATCTTCTATATGGAGTGATGAATGCTCAATTTCAAGGAAACAAAGATTCTCACCACTGGGCCAATAGGCAGCATCATGATATATATTGATAATGAAGAGATTGAGATTGTTAACAACTCCAGTTTGCTTGGCTCCACAATTGATATTCTTGGTATCAGCAGCCAGGAAATCAAAAGACAAACTGCACTGGAAAAATCTGCTGTCAGGGACTGCTCCAGAGACTTAAGAACAATATCAGTCTGGAGATTAAGGTGTCCCTGATCCAGGCCGTGGTCTTTATAATTACTTGGTATGCATCAGAGAGTTGGACAATGACTAAGGATAATGGAAAAAAAATCAATACCTTTGAGTTGTGGTGCTGGAGAAAAATACTGAATATACCATAAACAAACAGGTTCATCCTGGAGAGGGAGAAACCAGGCTGCTCCTTGTAGGTAATTAAAAATCCAAGGATTTTGAAGCTTCATCTCACATACTTTGGGCATATTTCAAATATGGACCCGTCCTTGGAAAGTGACATCATGCTTGGAAGGGTAGAGGGACTGCACAGGAGAGGAAGACCCTCAATGAGATGAACTGACGCAGTGACTAGGATAATGGGGGCAGATGTGTCAGAGACCATGAGGTTGGTTCAGGATAGAGGAGGGTTCAAAGTTGTTGTTCGTTAAGCCAAGTACTAACACAGAATTTATCTAACACAAAGAATGTCACTTAAGTAATTTCCCTTGCTTCCAGAAAGTCTTTGGGACTAGAAGTTCTTGAATAAGTATGGCATCTTTCAATATTATAAAACTTTCAGGAAATACCTAAAAAGATTCCTGCAGAATCTCTAAGCCCCTACCAAACCCATCCCAAGAAGAACCAGTAACCTGATGACAGGTGATTCTTTTTAGAGACTGGGACATGTTTCAATTAGTTCTATTAAGATTTGCCAACAGCTTCTTTGATTTTCTATTCTACTCATTTCCCTTCTGTTTAAAATTTTGCTTTGATTAGCCTACACTGAGACATTCGTTTTCCCAAACTACAGAAATCTCCTTTAGAGATTCTGATAATCAACCTGGGTTGTTGTTATGTGTCATCAAGTCGCTTGCGACTCATAACGACCCTATGTACAAGAGCCCTAAACGCCATTCTATCCTGTGCTAACCTCACCGTCTTAGACACACTCATTCCCACCATTCCACTCACAGAATCGATCCATCTCTGGGTTACTAAAGGTTTATCTTCTACAAAAGATCAAGAGAGCGCCAACTTATTCTTCAAATTGGTAAAAGATTTCTTTTACCACCGGAAAAAGGAGGAGGAACTTGGGAAGCGAAGCAAGGCTGACCTAATATTTTTAACCTGTATAAATGTATTATCTACTTAAAAATAAAGATTTCTAAAATTTTTACTGTATAAAAAGAACTGAGTTTCATTGATTATGCAAAGGCATTTGACTGTGTGGATCATAACAAACTGTGGCTGACTCTGAGAAGAATGGGAATCCCAGAACATTT